TGTCATTCTTCAAGTGTTCTTGACTTATTGAGCTTGTGATCGTTTGTAGCCGTTGGAGGAAGTTTGGAGTCGTTTGGGATTTGATTAGCTGCAAAATAAAACTACTCGACATAAGGAGTATCGGTACTCGGGTTTGGAGTATCAATACTTCCTTTGTTATATTTAAAAATCTAGTTGTTAATAACTGTTGGATCGACCAGTATTGATACTAGAATTTTGCAATATTAGTACTATTATGTAAAGTAGTATTGATATTCTTAAATATCAATATCAATTTACATTCTAGAATTTGAAAATTTTTAAAAATCATAGGTAGTATCGATACTACAATGAGAGTATCAATACTTCTCTTATATTTGGTATCGGTATTGTTCATGCATTATCAGTACTGTAAGAACAATATATGTACTACTTACTCAAAAAAATGTTTTGTGTACAAATTCTTGTTTAATAGACTTTAAATTATTTTTAAAAGCTCTAAATAAATTTAATTTAGTCCAAAATCATTTTCCTCTTATTTATTATATCAAAATGTAGGGTGAACACAAACCTTGAACTTCTCTTATCCCCAATATACCCATCAAAACTTTCTTCCACCAATGGCTTCCATCCCAAGCGTCATTGCCTCTCTGATCACACCATTTCATTCTCCATTCATCTCTCCAACCTAATCCTCCCCGACGACGACGATAACGACAACAAAAACCTAATTTTCACTAATCCCAAGAGAAGTAGCTTCAGGCTATTAGTAAAAAATAAAAAACGACACTGCCATGGGTCGAGTTCGGTGTCGGGTCGAAACTCTGATTGGAGCGAGACTCGAAGGTGTGTTATTCTGTGGGAGGTTCGACAGCTTATGGTACGTGCTTAGATTTCCCGGTGGCTATGGGTGCAGACTCAAGCGAGGAGATTGTAGATACTTGTTTTTGACCGGGTTTAAAAAATATTATATTATTATAATAATAATAATTATTATTATTAAATATATTACACTGTTTTGCAGGCCTAAATTCAAGCCCAAACTAATGACCCAAATAAAGCTCAACCCCGGAGCCCAACACAATTACATCAAGCCCAGACCCGATTAAAGTTGAACCGATCCGGTGGACTGACCCGTTTTGCTGCTGCCAGCCCATGCCCATATGATGCTGCTTCTGCAAATGCCTCACTCATGCCACCGACGCTGCCCACGCTTCACCCATCACTCCACCATCAAACAAGTGCATAGAAGATTAGGGAAATATTTTATTATTATTTCGATTGATGGTTTGTAATGGGTATAAAACCCAACCGAAATCTATGTAAAAAAGGGGAGGAAGACTCGATTTTTCAGAAGAAGTACAAGCAATATTTTCAAGGTTATTTGGTTTTTTTTACATTCAATATATTTTTCTTTTCATGCATTTAATTGTTATTTAAGTTCGGTATTTTTTTATATCTTTTACTTCCACAGCAAAAATATGATTTTTATTTTCCTAAAAAAATTAAAATGCTCAAATATGTTGAATATAAATAACCACCATGTTTCCTTTTCCTAATATCCAACGATCTCAGTTGCAGCAAATAATAAAAAAATATAAAGGAAAACATCAGCAATAAAAATACAGAAATTTTTCAGCAATCCTAAGGTATTTCAGTTTCTTTAATTTATGTGTTCAATTCGAATGCAACTAATAATAAGAATTTTAGTTTGTAATTTTGTTCTTAGTTAACGTAAATTTCATGAGTTCTAAAAAATTAATTAAAATAGAGATAGGAAGTTAGGTTACCTTGCTGCGGTGTTCGTCGGAGTAGGGGTGTCGCCGTCGTCGGGTCTAGAGTCGTGTGGTCAGTGTGACTCTCGGGTTCACCACAGATTCGGTTACCATGGCTGCTCTGTTGCTCAGCGAAGAGAAGAAGAAAGAAAGATAGGGATTCTGGTAATCCTCACGCAGATTGGAATTGGGGGAAGAAAAAAGTGCTTTTATTTTAATTTTGGGTTAACCTCACATAGGTACTTGAATTTCTTGCTGTCTTTTACATTGGTCGCTTAAAGTTTTGGTCTATTCATGTTTAAGCCACTCCATTATTGCCGTGTTTTTAAAAATCAGTCACCAAACTTGTACGGTTAATCACGTTTAGGTCCCTATAATATTACCTTATTTTTACATTCTAATCACTGAATCTCTATGTTTTATTTTATTTTAGGCACTTTATTTTCGTTATTTTCAATTCGATCACTAATATGTTATATTTTATAATAATTTATGCCTGTAACTTTCATTTCCTATATTTTATTCATTATTAGTTTTTTATTTAGCCTTGAATATTTTAATTCCTTAGATTTCGATCCATGTTTATTTTTATTTAGTTATCATATTTTTTTATTGTACTTTAATCTACATAATTAGATTTTATTACAATTTAGGCTCCTATATTTATTTTAAATTGATTATTGAAGATCTTATTTGTTCATATTGATTTATTAGATCCTTCTATTTTAATCCTTTAATTTTTTGTTTGTACTATTTTAGTACTTTAATTTTTTTCTTTTGCTATTTAATACCTTAAGTTTTTGTTTTTCTCTTGCAGCTCATTTCTAGTATTAATTTGATCCGTAAATTTTAATTATTTCCAATTTATTATTATTTTTTTTATAAATCCTCTTTCATTCCCTTTTATTTATTTATTTACTTTTTATATTTTGATTTTAATACTAACTCTTTGTTTTTGTTGGTTTTATTTTTTTTACTTTATTTATGATTTTTTAAGGATAATTTTAATTAATCAAAAGGTAAATAATTATGATCGAATTTTTCAATTTAAATTTAAATTACAATTTTCGCAATTAAGACAACCAACAAATTAAATGGTATCGAAAGGGCAGTTCAGGGGTGTTAATCTTTCATTGACTGTAACCGACTCCCAAACCCGATATATTTCTGGTAAAACACAGATTATGTATGATGATATCCGATCAACCAATTTTTTTACGAAAAATAAATGATCGGTGGCGGCTCTAATATTCTATCCAAGTCGAAGCTAAATTTTGGGCCCACCCGAAAGACGATTGATACATGATATCCTTATATTCAGTAATCATAAGACAATAAGAAAATGAAATTTTCTTGCTGATGGGAAGCTTTCTTTATATGATAAACAAGAATTCACGGTTGAGGAATGCTTGATTGAAGATAGATCATGACTTTTAGATAGGGGTGGAGCCAGAATTAGATATAAATAGGGGTTGAAATATTAAAATTTTTAAGAAAAATATAATGACTTATTAGGTATTTACACTTACAATTCATAAAATAATATCTAATTTGTGTAATAATTAAATTTATAATGACCTAAATTGTTATTAGAACAAAAAATTGAGAAGATTAGATTATCATTCCTTTTTTTTTTTGTATAACTACCAGTTTCTTATCTATTGATCGTCTAATTCAAATCAAATACTGCAGAGGCAAGGACGACCCTCCCAACCCAAATTGCTCAATTCGCAATCGTCAATATTTGAACCCTTAATCTTGCTTAAGATATCTAGTACCTCATCACGCTAGACCAACCGATTGTTGGTATTAGATTACCATTCTTTAGTTCGTCCCCTACTTGATTAAATTTCTAATAAATTCTTATATTTCTTAATTTAAATACTTATTTTTACATTAACTAAAATAATATTAAATCAAAATCTATCGAACATAAAATAATTTTACAGGACTGGGCCCTATAGGCCCCCGCCCCTGCTTCTAGGCTAGGCCTAGAAGGCGCAAGCTGTTGAGAAGGCCAAGTCGAGGATGAGGGTGAAATGTAATGAGAAAATTTGGGTTTAGGCCTTGGGTTATTTTGAATTTTAGAATTAATCTCAAATGCAATTTACGATACATATAATTTATGTTAAAATTAATTTCAAAATTTGAGTTGACCTAATTGTTAAATGTGAACAGCGGCCTTGGTTCAAGTCTCATAAAGAGCAATTTAACCTTAATTATATCAAATAAATTGACGTCGTTTTATTTGTTTTGAGCATCAAAACAACCACATCAAAATGATATCATTTTGATATAATGCTCACGTCAACAACCATCAGTCATATCATTGTTTTGTTAATGATTTAATGATGGAGTAACATAATTTAAACATAAATCAAAATTTGATGCTATAATTGACTAAATTGAAAGTTCAATGGTATAATTAATACAACATCTAAAATTTAGTGTTATGTGATGTAGTTTACCCTTAAAATTAAACATTTAAAAGGGTAATAAAAATTTTATACAGAATTCTAGATTTTATGTTTTCAACATCAACTGACGCTACGTAATATGAAAAAGGACAAGATTAAGAAGAATCAAGATGGGAGGTGAGTTGGCATAGCTGACGCGTAAACAGTGATTAGAATGACCCATAAATAAAAGGTTAAGTATATCACACGGTCACTAAATTAGGTTCAAATGACTGTTTCAATCATTAAATTTCCAGAAATGATAAAATGTCTAATAATTTTATCATTAAATTTTATTGAACTGTTATGTAATTTCAGTTCGAGTAGATTTATTTTATGTAATTTTTCTTTATAAACGAGAAAATTATATTTATAAATAAATACTAGGGATTAAGGTTTAGAAGTAAGTTGATTAAATGCTAAACCGGATTTAGATATAAATCTTCTTGTACTCTTTTTTGACATAGTGATTTTTTCTCCTCTTTTGCCTGTAGATTTTTCCCGATTGAATTTTTTTCACGTAAAATCTCAGTGCTCTTTATTTTGTAATTGCTTTACATTCATTATTATCATGTATATATTATTACAGATATATAACCATTCAATAAATTTCATGACCATTTTATAATTTATGAAAACTTAATAATCAAAACAATAATTTGAACATATTTCATTTATTATAAATAAATCAATAAAACGTGGCAAATGTACAAAGATTGCTTTTGAAACTCAATGTCCAAAACAGACAGTCAAACTATATTTGCCAACATTTGGTGTTTTGTGTCGACTTTGTAAACTCTCTCTTGGTTTTGTCTCAATGGGAACGAGGAGTTATTTGGCAATGAGGAGTGAGCAAGAGGCAACTGATCTCATCGCTTCCGATTTCAAAGATGTAATCTTTGCAGCCAAGAAGCTTACCAATCATGCCATCAAACTGGCTTCCTGGGGATTTGGGACTACATTTCTCCAATGGATCGCTTCCTTTGCTGCCATGTACGTCACTCTTTTCATATATACAATTTATAATTGTTTAATACAAACTGAATACTATATAGATTTATTACGAATGATGGTTTAATTTATTTTATTTTATTCATAATGTCAGAATTCGAACAAATTGAAAAGTAATAGTTGCCCTAATTAATCTGTATGGCTTGTGGTTAATGATGCAGTTACTGTTGATATTGGACCGGACAAACTGGAAAACTAATATACTTACAGCACTGTTGATCCCATACATCTTCTTGAGTCTTCCTTCCTTACTGTTCAACATCTTGAGGTGAATCCGTGTACTCGTCGTGTATAGCTCAAGCATTGTGTTCTGCTTTTCGATTTTTATTACAGTTTTTGGTTTGGTTCTGCAGAGGAGAAGTTGGAAAATGGATTGCTTTTGTTGCTGTCGTTTTGCACTTGTTCTTCCCTAGACGTTTCCCAGGTATAACATGTATATATATTTTTTATGTCTAATCCCGTATTTGAACATAATCAATGACAGATCCAAAAATATTTTTTAAGATATATTAACATAAAATTTTCGAATGGATTGAACACATATAAAATTTCATGATAATGATAACCAATAAAATAAATAATCACTTAAACATAGTTATCAAAAATGTTAAAGATTATATTTTAAATTTCGTTTGATCCGATTTAAAAAATTTAATGTATTATCTCTTTAGTAAAGAACTAAAATTGAAAAAGAAATGCTAATTAATGGTGGTTAATGATTTTGGATAAATTTATCATCTAAGATTTAGTATTTGTACACTTATATATACACGATTCAGGGATCATAATTAGAGTTTTTTTCCCCTATCCAGGGTGTTTCGCCTAAAATCTGATGTATTCATTCTACTTTTATACCATTTTTATTATAGTTAATTGTATTATATATCCTTAACTTTCAAACGTTTCAATTTCATCCTTAAATTATAACTCTCATTCTAAAATAGTTCTCATACTTTTGAACATTCTAATTTCATCTACACATATTATGACCTTCAATCTATATTATTTCCAATTTTATCTCAAACTATGTGTGTATGCTAACCAGATCCACTGTAAATAAAATCGTTAGGCCAAGCTCGGTTATTATATATTTGAAAAGAAATGTTAAATTATGGTTGAAATTAATTACATATTTGGATGAACTTGAGTATGAATCAAAAGTTTTAAAGACTATTTTAGAATGATGGTCATAGTTTGAGAATGTGTGAATGCAATTAAAATTTCTTTTATTAATATGAGGAAATACAATATAATATATATTCAAAGACAACTTTCAGTCATTTGACATTGAATGCGCACACATCTAGTATTTATGGGTCTCAAACCCGAAACCTCAATGAATAACAACAATTCATTTACAACCGATGTCACTTTGTTTGCACAACTCTTTTTATTACTTTCTTGTTTAATTTGGTAACAAAAGATGAAACCGGAACAAGTGCAGATTGGCTTGAACTTCCGGGCGCTTTGATAGTGCTAATAGTGGTGGCGCCGAGCTTGTTTTCCAGCACTATAAGGAACGGGTGGATCGGTGTGGTGATATGCCTAGCAATTGCTTGTTACCTGCTTCAAGAGCACACCAGGGCATCTGGTGGGTTCCGAAATTCGTTCACCAAAGCCAATGGAATATCAAACACAATTGGCATTATTGTTATCTTGATTTACCCTGCTTGGGCTTTGCTCACTGATATCCTATAAGATTCAGTGCCCACCTTGTGCTTCTTTCTTTTTGGTTTGTTAAATGTACTTTTTGATATTTGAACTCGGTTTTAATGTGTAATTCGGTGTCTAAGTGTTTTCTTTTTGCTCTAATTAGATTCTTAAATTTGATGGTCACCAGAATAAGTTCACACATTTTATAATTACCTTGCAATGCTCGATTTTAGAGAATTGAACTCATTAATTGGTCTTAACAGTAAAAGATAATGATATTTATATTAAAAGATTCAGATTTAAATAGCTTCGTCTCAAGATGTGTTATGTTATCAATTAAATAATATTATTAATAAGTATATAATTGAGTCATTGAATTTTAAAAAAAAATCATACACTTTATTTATTCACCGAGCACTATATGTATATGTGGTGCTTGATTTGCCTTAGTGACGCGGATTATTCCTAAGAAGTTTTGTTAGTATCAATATTTTTTTTAATAATATGAGATCATTATAAGGTAGTATTTGTTAAGAATTTTTTTAGTCTATTGATAATGTACAATGGTGGAATGTAGTGGAGACATGTAGAGGCCATGCTCCCCTTAAAAATTGAAAAAGTTTAATTTTAGGCCCTTGAAATTTTCAAAAATATTAATTTGGTCTCTTAAACTATATCACCAAGTTTCGTCACTGCATACGCATTTTACAAATAGAACTGTTAGAATCTTCTACAAAAAATTAATATTTTATTATTAAAACTAATCAATGAATTCTTGAAATCAACCTTATATGAAAGTTGCAGGTATCAAAAGACATATTTAGAATCCTCATAATATAAGTTTTTTTTATTGATAATGTGAATTTCAAGTTCCGAATAATTTCAAGCTCTCAACTACAATAATTAATATAACAACCATCTAACAGCTTAACTAACACCACCTTATTAACTGCTCAACTAAGAGCATCTCCAACGCTGCTCTACTATAGCAAAATTCTGGTTGTGGAGTGCTCTAGCCCTGCGTTAGATCCATCGCTACTGTGGAGAATTGCTACAGTACCGTGTCACATCTAGCGCGGCACTGTAGCTCACGTTACATTTTGTTTTTTTTTTTTTTAATTAAAGTATATTAAATTATAAGATAGATAAAAATACATTTAAATTAGATAAATAATCATACTATTTTTTTTTTTTGTAATTTTTCGATTTTTTTGTATTTTTCTGATTTTTTTATATTTGTAAAATTAATATTATAATAGTTAAATATTGTAAATAAAGTAGAGTTAGTGGTAATATAGAGATAGCGCTGGAGATGAATTATTTTTTCATCTAAAATAGAGATAGAGATGTGCTAGAGTAGAGATGAGGGTTGGAGATGCCTTACATTATTAATCAGATTGTTAACAATAGGTATCAAAAGGGATATATTAGGGTCAACAACCGAGCAAACATAATTTTATATTAAGGGGTGAATTTTTAAATTTGTTAGCATGTCCTACGCATTAAAAAAGTGTCATGCCCCCAGAACTTCGACGCCTCAAACTGTCGGAATATCAGAGTCAAGGTCTGACGGGTCGTGCGGCCTTAGACGCTTTAGACGCTCCTCGGTCTTCTCGGCGACTAAGTAAGCCTTACCCAAACCTAGTGAGTGTGCTAACTCACAAAGGTTGGAACCAAGCCCTCAAGGCTTTGGGTTGTGGAAGCTTTAACACCAACGTGGCTACTCCGAGCCACAAGGTCGGACTATTGTGTGGAAGTGCAAACACGAAGATGGCTACTCCTGGCCACCAAGATAGGCAACAAGAACAAAGAACTAAAGAACTCAAAAAGAATAGAGCAAATGCCTCAGAGCTTTATTACTCTCTCACAAAGAGAAGAATGGAATTGGGTGATTACAAATGAGGAGGAGAGCTCTCTATTTATAGGGGAGCTCCCTCTCAATCGATGGCCAATATCGTTTTACATAAAAGGCTAGGATTGATTCCCACCTAACCCGATCCCTTAATTTAAGGCAATCCCACCTAACCTTATCCTTCTAGAATCCTCCAAGGAATGGGCCAGATCTGATGGTTCTGGGTAAGCCCAATAGTCTGTATAATTCTCTTACAGATATCTGCTCACATGTCTCGGTTCGAATCCGCAAGCCTCGACAACACTGCCCCCATCGCCCTCGTCGCTTCTCTCGGACGATTCGAAATAGATCTTTCACAGACTTGTTAAGCATTCTCCAAGAATTGGCTAAGTCTGGTGGTATCGGTAAGTCTGATTCTTCGTATTGAACCTCTTGGTCGAACGCTTACACCAATGTCTCGGACCCAAGTTTCTAGCCCGTGACATTCTCCCCCACCGAACCTAGCGACGCCCTCATCGCTGCACTCGACGATCCTGGGCAACACCTTCTTGGATATCTTCAGTGCATTGGCTTGTTGCGATCCTCCCATACGAACTGCTCGCCTTGGCTTTTGCCTCATTTAACTTCAAGATCTTTCGCGCCATATTTCACATCAACTTGGTTGCCTTTCGATGCCTCCACTTGCTCATATCCCCCCATAAGGACTCGGCCTCCCATGATGGTTGTGCTTGCTTCGACTCTTGCCGCCAAGTGATGAAATGGGCTAACACACCCTCAAGTGCATCTCTGTCGTAGGAACTCTTTCCTACAAGTCTTGATTTGCCTTAACTTGGACCCTCTTGTCCCTTGCAGCAAAGTCTTGGATCCCATCCAAACTTTGTTTCCCCCGCGCTAAATGTTAAGTCTTGCCCGACCTACACTAACTTAAAACGGAAAATCAAACTCAAAATAACACCAGAAATGTGTTGAGATGTACCTTCCCCCTCTGATTAATTGGCATTTACTCAAATTTTTGCGTCAGCCCTTCTTACTCCATAAAGTCTGACACTCCCCGCATTGAACCCTTGTCATTGGAGTTCTTTGCGCCATCATGCATCGACACTTTCTCATGGTAAAGTTCGATGCCCTTCCTCGCATCCTCCCTTCTAACACGAAGGTTGGAGCTCGCTTCCCACCTTTGAAATGGGTGGTGTCTCCTACACTTGGCTTCTACTCGCCTTGGCAGAGATGAACCGTATTGAGCCAAGTCTCAATGCCCCCTCGATCCTTGGTTCGTCCTCTTCTCTGGACTACTCGATCCTGGGCTCATATGTCACCTTGGATGACTCGACTCCCCTCGGGTAATCTCGCAACATTGTTGGCACCTCAAGTTTGCGCCCCTTCGCTTGCTCGACTCTTACCCTCGACTTAGCATCTTCAGCACTTGATCTTGTGCTAAGACTACACACATGTTCACCAAATCCACCGTCTGGTTCATCATTGAGTGGACTTTCCCTACCACTCGAGGAACAACCTTCCTCATCCTTTGACTTGCCTTCATTGCGGGATATCTTGCCGCTACCCTCAGCTTTCGGCTTTGGTTTGGAAGTCTTGTTCTTCTTGACCCCAAACTCCTTGATGGATTCGGCGATTGTCAAGGCTTTAGATAGCTCCTCGACTTCCCTTCGCTCCAACACTTTCTTCACCCACGGCTTCAGTCCGAACATGAAGGTGAAGAACCCTTATTCTTTAGTCAAATTTGGGACCTTGAGCATGAGTCTTCTGAATCGTCTCACATACTCTTTGAGTGTCCCTTTATGCCTAAGGCGCCTCAATTTGGACCACGCCTCCATTCTGGCATATTGTGAGCAGACTTGCTCACTTTGCACCCTCGGCTTGATAGCTTTATCATTCACGATCGCACCGGGTCCCTTCTTGTGCGGTACTGCTTTGACACCCGCAGTCTCGGCACGTCTCGATCCTGGCCTGACTACTTGAGAACTTGTAGTCGTACCACGCTTGTCCCTTGATTCGGCTATGTTGGAACATGTAGCCTCATCAAGTCTTGCTCTTGACTTGATTGCTTGAACACCCGCAATCGCATCGAGCTTTCTTCTTAGTTCAGCTGCCTCATCATCGACAGCTTTGCCTCGTCTGGATCTTTACTTGGCCGCGTTGATCCCATCAATCGGACCAAGTATTTCCCTTGACTTGGCACTTTTACTTGTACCTCCGCCAACTCTCGCTACTTCTCCTTCCCCCATCCTCTCCATGATGGTTGTAAGGCGACGCTTCTCGGGACATCCCCTAATCAAGTGAGGACCATCACAGAAGTAGCACTTTAGCTTTTCCTTGCTCGCCTTCTTCTTTTCCCCGAACTTGGCCTTACCATTCTTTCCCGATGGCTTTCTTTGGCCGCGAACAATCGATGGCTCTACTTGGCTACTCGAAGAGCTTTCTATACCATCTCCCCGCTGTACCTTTTCCTGGTCTCCCCCATTGTTGCCACTATCCCTGGGCATGGGCCTGGACGACACATTACTACTTGGCTTGACATCAGCAAGCTCAGTTAGTGTTCCGGCTACAGCTATGGCTCCTGAAAGTCTCTGGCCATCACCTTGCTCTTCCCCGAGCATCACCCCTGGTCTAAGTCCTTCCAAGAAAGTCTTGAGCGCACCCCATTCACTCATTATTCCCTTGCATATGAGAAGCTCCCTTTTGAGTTCATCCACCTCATTCCTCAAAGCCGTTACCTCGGCTTCTTGGGCATTACTCTCTCGAACCGTCTCCAACTCGTCTAGAACTCGTTACGTCTCGACCTTGAATCTGCCCTCCATGGACTCTAATCGATCAATGAGAGACAATACAAAAATCCTTGGGTCTGTTTGGCCTCATCCTCGGCTTGTTCAAGTCTACCGACCCATTGTTCCCACAAAGTTGAGATATGCTCTAGATTAATGAGCCTCTCTGTGTGGTCAGCAATGCATTCTATCCAGTAGGCCCATTTCTCATACAATGAGAGTTCTTCTCCTTGTTCCTCATTAAGACTCTCCTCGTCTTCATGAGAGAACGTGTCTCGCTCGGACATGTCTTCGGCGTCACCCTTGAGCCTCTCTACTTCGAGAACCGACTCCGCTTGGTGTGTTATCGTTGCTTCGAGCATTCCTCGCAAACTCATCTCGGTATCCCCATGCTTGGACACCGACGATGCTCTTGAACCCAACGGACTCTCTTCCCGTTTCCCACCATGACACTCTTTGCCTTTACGTGCGAAAACTCCTCTTTTCTTGTGCCCTATTTCAATTATCAAATTAAATTGAACGAAGA